GTTTCCTTATCAACAACCTAAAAATGTTCAACAATAATTCTCAATTTATTTCGCTCTCGTTTCTATCTGTTTGTCGTTCCTGGGATGAAACATCTCATCAAAACTTTTCGCATATTCACATATAAAACAAAGAGTCATTCGACTGAAAAAAATCAGGCTTCTGAAAGAGTCAGGCTGATTGTAACAATGCTAAAAGAAAACTTAGATAAGAGGACTTATTATTCAATGAATTTCTATCAGTCGAACTATCTGAAGTAAAACACCTGCAATCGAATGCTGATCGGTTCACAAACTGATGTGATATGAACTATTCAGAAAACACAAATATTACAAACGCGCACAAAACGATGAGATAAGAACTAACCGGACGAGAGACAAGTAATTTGAGGAATGCCGTTGACAAAGGTAAGTCCACAAGACGTCCATCTTGCAGTACTTTAGCCAGGAATATGCCTAAGAATTTGAACAGTTCGACTGCTTTCTTCGACTCGTCACCGTGACGAGGTAATGCCGCTGGGAAAAGACCTCCAGAACGTCGTACGTAATAACTGCAATGCGATCATTACAACAACACTTAATGTGATTAGAACAATAAAATAAGAATGAATAGTATCATCTTTTATGTAATAAATTTGTGATCAATCGAATAAAGAAATAAAGTTTAACCCTGGTGGTTTCACTCCTTCGCCCAGATCGATTTCATTCTCTTCACGTTTCAACTGATCTTCGTCCAAATCATCACACACCCACATCCCTAACGATTTCCGTTGGAATTCTGCTGCTACCTGCAATCAACAATTCATTAACCATACACGACAACACGCTACTGATATCAGTTCTTAAAACTAACAACTTCTAAGTGATAAACCGAGCAACTCTTCAATTTTTAATTACTATTCAATAAGTTCGCATTGTAGGCAGCGAACTGACCCAATTTAGACTTTTCCCGTTTTTTGAAAAAAAAAAACGAAACAATCATAACTGAATTTTACAGATTTTGTTCAGTGCTAAATTCGAATGCACTGATTTCGATCTGATTCACACTCACTCAACACGATATTCTTCATCTTCAAAATATCCGTTAAAAAATGAAACTCCTTGGAATATTTTACAAATATGACTTCACAAAAAAATTTATTCTAAAAACTGGAACAACATTGATGATTACTTTGCATAAAAGTGTTCAAATGATAACAACAACAAAATAATAATGTAAATCTCACCAATGCATAAAACTCAAGCGTTGGCCCAAGACCGGTTCCCTCCTCTCCGACGTACTCAACTTCGAGTACTGACTTGCGTGTTGCATGAAATTCCATCACACGTTTCGCTGATTCAAACAACAGATCACCGTTCCGTGGCACCTTCACACAAAAATCAAATTAATATAACAATCAGACTTGACCATGTTCTTAACTACATCAGTCGCTTGCATGCTATTCTCTGTTCACACCAACATTTTAGCAACACGAACAACAAAAGAAATTTCCTAAACTATAACAAAAATTCTTCCAAATACAAAGAATTATTCCAATGCACTTTCCTTTGCGATACTCTAATTTTTCTAAACCATTTACAAAACACCATAAAGAAAGCTAACTGTACGTCAAAAAAAAAAGAGTAACTTATTCAAAAACATTTATTCACCTTGATTCGTTCATGTTTAATACGTCCTACACGGAACTCTGGATAATGGTCATCACGTCGAGCACCAGCTAGATTTGACACTGCAGCTGCACTTGTTGCGCCACGTGACTGTTCTAGGATCTGACACAGAAACAGACATTAAATTTTGAGAAGTTGAAAAATGTGCTGGAATTCCGAACAAATCAAATATCACTAGCATACGAATTGAAGCACTTTCAAATCGCACAACTTCTAAATGTACCTGATCACGACGTGTCTGAAGCCAAACAATCGCCCTTGATGTACCAAATGCAGTCGCGTGCAAGTAATGAGTCCTGAAATTTACTCCACTATCAAAACACCTATCGAGAAATGCCATCACTTAACTTGTACCATAATCGCACCCAATTCAATTCACCCACTCCCCACTGAAAGTATCCGACTTTCTTGATCATAGAACTACTACAACAAATCATTAAAAACTCCTGTTGAATAATTCAAACGCACCTCGTTTCAATGCTGAACAAGCACGGATACTCGTAAATCAGATGATCGCACCAAAGCGGTAATGCCCTCGCAGACACTATCAAAGGATCCGCCAGTTCTTGCATCAACTTCTGCGTTACCTTCTCACTGACGAACATCTCGGTGTTCATTTCCAGTTCACCCGTCCTTTCACCCAACTTATGCAGATCCGCCAACACGGCCAAAGTCTGCACAAATTTCACTCTATTATTCATAATGACAATCAACCACTTTCGCGCACAATACACTCCCACCACTGTCGCATGACCAATCCATTCAAACACGTTACTTCAACAAATCAATCTTTCAACAAAGTAACACTCACATCAGTAACTATTGGCGGTGAATTATTCAGATCATTTGAATCGTTCGATTGATTTATCGTCTCTATAGTCGACGGCTGTTGTGGTATCGCCTCCTCATAAATGAGCGTATAGGTTGGCTCCCAAACTCGTCGTGTTCGTTCGGTTTTCTGAATCAGAACAAATAAATATTTCTTCGCTGATTTCCTTCAAAAAAAAACAACCACTCAATGAAAATCGACTCCAAAATACGATCGCATTTAACATAATACACAACAGACCTGTCCCCAATCAATATTCTGACACAGTTGTTGCAGGAAGTAGAACATCGATGCGTTATTGTCATTCAATTCCACTGTTACGTTCTCAATATTCGCCAAATTTGGACCGCGAATATACAGACGTATATTGCGTTCCTGAAATATTCATTCATGCTCGTTCAATTGTTATTATTTTTATCACTGAATGTTATCCAAAACGACGACAAAGCAGCAAAAAAACTAACATGAACATGTTCACTGCTAGTTTGTTTGGGCTTGTCGACGTTCGTTCGTGACGCGTTTGATTGAACTTTATCGGATTCTTTGATTGGTGGCGGCAGTTCAACGTCTTGAGTCTAAATTTTTGTTTGCCTCATTGAAATGAATACAATTATGGATGAGTTAAGTTATTTCAATGCTTCACAAAATCTTCATAGAATTCACCACTCATATTTATGAGACGCAGTGTACATGACTGATATCTATCTGTCTATGATGCAATTATACAAGCATTGATAAAACTCTATGATTATCGCATATAAAATATTTGTGTTAATACAAACGAAACGAATGACAATAATGTTAACTGCAATAAACACGATGTACACTAACTAAAAATAAAGAGTAATAATAAAAAATCACCTGATTCACATTTGTTCTTCCGGGTCTCGGGTCAAATGCTGGTATGAGTGCATCAAACTGACGTTTCAGCACAAATTCATCATCCCAATTACGATTGATCGCACCGTTTGAACTCGAGTGATCGGTGGAGTTCGATGAGCGAATACTGCTTCGTTCACCCAAAAGACGCCCTGCCTCGCCCACGACGATCTTCAATATTATCAATA